TATAGAATCAGCCTTTTTTTTTTTTTTTTTTAACAATGTTACAATTTTTTCAACATCAATTTTTTTATTAAATTTAAGATTTAAGAACGATTAGACCAACAAAGTATGTAATATAACTCATCAATAAATGTGTTAATTAACATTTTTCTTTAGTCGAATAGATCCATCAATGAATTTAAAATGCCTAATAATTATTGATTAATAAACCATAAGTACTGCGATGACGCTAACACTTTGTACACGTTTGTTTAATCGGATTGCATTTAAGTATTCAACTCAATATTTGATGAGGCAATTTGTGGACCTTAAATCCAACTACTCTTATCACGATCAATCATTGTGTTGAATTTGGTTTATTTATATTTACTAATTTCTAAATGTAAAACAATTATAAAAAAAACATGCCAGTTATAATTTGTAGAACTTCAGCAACGAAAAAAGAAAAGAAAAGTAGTAAAGTGGAATAAAACGTGCATGGGAATTTTTTTTAGTTTTACAAAGACAGGCATATTTGAAAATATTGATTTTTCTTTACTTGTAGGTAATTCAATCTCACAAATATTTGATGTACCAAGTAAATTGTTTGTTGTGCTAGATATAAACAGGTTATGTATTTTTATTCTACTTAATAAAAAAACAAGTAAATTAATGGTTAGATATTTGTCACTATCATTCAACTTGTCAACGTTTAACATTGAAAGTTCAAACATTAAAATCCAAAAAACCTTTGAACATTGATATAAAATAATTATAAAAAAAACTAAACTGATTTATACGAACAACCAATAGAAGATAGTAAACTAAAAAATATATATAGGATATACAAGTGCGAGTGTTTTGAAGAGTTGTCAGTTTTTGACACATTAGTGGTTGGAAATTATAAATAACTTAAAAAAATATAAAGTTTCTGTTCTTATTTAATGAGTCTTCTCTATAACTTTATATTTTTAATAGATTTAAAATAATAATGAAAAATATATTAAAAACTATTTGATTATTATTAAGACTTTTTTTAATAAAAATTCACAACTTTTAATTAGTTTCGAAATTCTTTAGAACGGGTCGGTGTAGGATTAAGGATTTTTGTTTTCTGTTTTCTATGTCTTTTTTCCCCTAATAAGGGAATTCCTTGTAATAGACTAGGGATGGCAAAAATACCCGCACTCGCGAGTATTTACAGGTAAAATCTGTTATAAATAATAAATAGATAGGCTAATTGAGTATCCGTAGATAATGGGAATGGATAATTTTTTATTCGTTTATAAACGAGATAAGAAGGGGTATGATGATATTCATATCCGCGAGTACCTGTTTAATAATATTTCTTAAATATCGTAATTATCTTGCATTTTTATTATTATTTCAACAAAATTAACCTTAAATACAAGTTTAAAATTAACATTGAATTTTTATTTTTAATATTTCAATAACATTAAATATAAACTTAAAATTATTTATAATATAAATTTTTTAATTTATTATAAAATTTATAAATATCTATGGATATCCGTGAGTATTCAAAAAATTCATGGATACCCACGCGGATATAAAGTGAATATGAGACTAATTTTCATCTAACAAGACAGGGACGAATTTATTATTACCCGCCCCATGAACCCCGTTGCCATCCCTATGCTAGACTAGTTGTATCCCAACAACCTTTGTTTCTGGAAAGAACAATTGCTAGAACACGATGCACATTTTTCTTTATCTCTTTAAAGAGATTGGAGCATCATAAAATAATACATTCATGGTTAATTTGTTATTATATAGAAAAAATTGTGATTTTTATGGATAAAAAAATTACTCCGATAACGTTTCAATATTTTATTTTCAATATTATTCATAATATGTGACAATTTTGTGTAGCAGCTACCCAGAAAACTCTGTTAAGTTATTTGCATAAGATGTCAAAGAGCAGAAAGAACACAACTATTCAACGGAGCCGGGTTCTGTGCAATTTCAAAGAAAATGATATTTTTATAAATGTAATAATGATTTTAAAATTAGTTATGTCAAATAATTTTTTAATTGGTTAATAATATAAAAATCTTTAGAATAATAATCACTTTCCTTTTCATTTACCGAGTCAACTTTTGGAAACCAACTTGTTTCATAATTATTTTGACTTAATCATCATGAAAAAGAAATTTGAGGGATAGAAAGAAATAATAAAAATAAGTTGGAAGAGATATGAGAAGTTGAATAGAGTGGTGTGATATTGTTACCCAGAAAGTAGATTAAAAATGTTAGTATTAATTCTTAACTGTACACGTAAGTTGCAGTGTGAATTTTATTTTCTTTGGATTTAACTCCAAAATTGTATTGAGAGAAAATGAGTCTGAGGCAGACAAGACAGGCTCTGTTTCCCTCGTAATTTTATTTTTGAGACAACTCACGCAAGTCTTGCAAATTGCTGCTGCTGGCTTCCTCGTAATCTCCATTTTCTCTCTCTTCACTTTCCTGTTTGATCAGGTTTCATCTCTTTTCACCTACCCAGATCTGTTCTTGCTTCAATTTATTCACTTTTTCATTTCTTGGATCTATTGCACCCCTTCAATATCCTATCCTGATTCTCTCTCAATTCTCACTTTTTCATGTTAAGTTTCTTCTGGATCTCAATTAGGAACCCTTTTCATCATGCTTGCTTTCTCCTATAATTTGTTCCTTGCTTCTTCTTTTGGGTCCTTATTTATCAAGATATCATCTTTTGTCATTTCTTGGAATTATGAGCTTGGGATTTACGTTCAGTTATGGTGTCCGTGCCCCTCTTTCCAATTCAACTTTAATTGAATGAGTATCTGGTGTCCTATTTTGTTTTTATTTTTCTGTGCTATCATTCATGGACCGTTATTTTATGCCTTTCAATGTTTTCATGTACAATTTCGGATTGTCTGAACTTTGATTGCTATGAGAATCGATGGGATGAAATCGTGAGATGTTTTTCTTCATATTTAATGCTGATTTGTGTAATTGTGTCATCATATAATGTACAGTTATTGATATTGTTTCTTCTTTGATGGACTAGTTAAGTCTCTAGCCGATTTGGTTTGGTAAAAATGCTATCTTAGTACAAACAAAGAATATTGCTTGGAAAAATATGTTTTCAGAATTCAAGTAGCTGTTGACTGTCATGTTATTGGCGAGAAAGCTTTTTATGAGCTAGTGAGTGACAAAAAATTGAAATGGGTTTTTATTTGGCAGTTCAGTCTGTGGTTCTGGCACACTAAACTGCGTAGGCTTCAATGAAGAAGGCCATTGGTCAAACTGTTAGGGAACTGTAAGTCTTACTGTTTATTAATGTATAGTTCCATATGCCATGAATGTAATTTCTATTTAAGACGTTTATTACCTTTTAAGAACCCGATCCTATTTCATAAATTCCTTACTCTCTACATTGTATTCTTGCAGTAAAAGAGAAGTAAATAAGAAAGTATTGAAAGTTCCAGGGATAGAACAAAAGGTAAATTTTGTTCTTTGAACATTCACTGTAAAACTATGATTGCACGTAACACATAGCAAGATAGTGATGTAAGGATTTGTGTGAAGTCTGCAATCTGGATTAACTTTTCTATAATATTTGCTCATGAAAGAAATTGTTGTTTGAATATCTTGAAGTTTGCACATCATCTTATTGCACAAATTTTAATTAGAATAATTTCTCCCCTCTTCCAGGTTCTTGATGCTACCAACAATGAAGCCTGGGGTCCTCATGGATCACTTCTTGCAGATATTGCACTGGCGACCAGAAATTAGTAAGCTCAAACTCTTCATTTTATGCTTGATATTGTTTAAGTTACTCATTTTTTGGCTCCTTGCAGTCATGAATACCAAATGATCATGGCAATAATCTGGAAGCGGATTAATGACACTGGCAAGAATTGGCGGCATGTCTACAAGGTTTGTAGAACTATTTTATGTTTTAGATGCAGTTACTCTTGGAATCTTTTATTTTTATTTTTTTTTTAATTGTTATAATGCTCCTTTTTTTTTCACTCAATACATCAATGCACCCATGAAATAACATCATTAATGAAGTTTGCCTTAATACTTATTTACTAGCCATGATGGGTTCTTACTATTTAAGAATTCTATCTTGTATGTCTTTTGCATTTACCGCCGATCTTACTATCTTTGAATAGAACAGTGCTTATGTTTATGCATTAAATGTTCAACGACAGGCTTTGACAGTATTAGAATACTTGGTGGCTCATGGGTCAGAGCGAGTGATAGATGAGATTAGAGAGCATGCCCACCAAATATCGGTAATTTCCATTTTGTTGATTGTAGACATTTATAAACTGTTATGTATTGGTCATACAAATTCCTAATATTGTTGAAATGATTTAAAATTAGAATGGAACTTGACAATATTGTAAATGTCACATGAACAGACATTGTCCGATTTTCAATATATTGATTCCAGTGGAAGAGACCAGGGAAACAATGTCAGGAGGAAATCACAGAGTCTCGTTCTCCTTGTGAATGATAAAGAAAGAATCATAGAGGTTAGACAGAAGGCTGCTGCTAACAGGGACAAGTAATTCTACTCATTGCTTTTTTTTAATACATATTTTGAACTTTGTTACTTTCCAGTTGCTATAAAAACTACCTTGTTGAGGAAGAATAAGACAGTTTAAGCAGATATTTTCTTTTTCTTTTTTTCCCTGAGTTCTGTAATATCCATCATTTGTATATTTGAATTTCTAGATCGCAAATGTAGAATCACTGAGTAGAACATGACATGTATATGGGTTTCTCAATCTGGAGGGGATATGTAATTGCCTGCATGATTCACCAGGTTTCGCAACAATGCATCAGGTGGAATGTATAGACCAGGTTCATACTCAAGCAGTGGAGCTTATGGTGATAGATATGAAGATGATCGTTATGGGAACAGGGAGGAAGATAGAAGTGGTTATGGCTATGGTAGGGAAAGAGAAGGGGGCTATAGGGACAATGATCCGTATAGTCGTGACGGAGATCGTTATGGCAGAGATTATGAGGAACGCTACAGCCGAGATGGTTACAGGGATGATGAGTACCGTGGAAGAAGTGTTGATGAAGACCAATATGGCTCAAGAAGCAGGAATTCTGATAGAGATCATGATCATAATTTTGATGATGATGGTCATCGTTCATCTCGGTATGTGCCTATTGTTATTTGTTGATAATCTGAATGAGATAATGCCTTTAATAAATTATTCTTTTATCTAAAAAAATCTGAAATAGATAATGCTTTTATTGATAATAATTAGAGTTCTCTGGGTGGCATTGCATTAAGCTGATGAATTTTTTGGACTTTTCAACAATTAGCTCTGGGTAGCTTTGACTTTGGGTGGGGGAAGATAAACAAGTTATCTTTAAGCTTTTCTATTTAAAATTTATTATGAAGAACCAAGGTAGTCAAATCAGGGTTTAAAAAATCCGTATACTTATGCCAATATGCCTATTAGTAGTAAAAAAACTTATCAACTCCAAAACACCAGTACACAACATACTCCATATTCATATGCCTTAAGTCATAAAGTAGCATAGCTAAAAACGTAACAACTACAAAACACATCAAGTTTTACACAAGTTACGAAGCATAAAACTTAACCAAAAGAACATAATAGAGAACAGAGAAGACATGGTGTCCAGCGCAGAGAATAGAACTTCTAACAGCAATGGTGGGTGGTGGCTGGCTCAGACGAGGAAGAATAATTGTGGTTAGGGATCAGGTTTCAATGACACAGATGCTTCGTGAAGGAGAAGCAGTTCAATGTTAGGGTGCACAATCACACAAGATGAAGAAGCTTCTTTGAACAGTGTTGATTCTGTTGAATCAAAATGGGTGAAACTAGGTCAAAAACCTTTTAAATGGGTCAGACGGTCAGTATTATGAAAATGGAAAATCACTCGATTTTTTTCAATTTTCCGGATTGGATCCTGATTTCATATTGTCTGTGATTTCATTGGTGATTTGAATCTGTCAGAGATATTCATAATTCAAATCATATAATCAAGTGACTTTTCAATTTGAATCCCAATTTTGATTACCATGTGGAGAACTCAACCGATCAGAATGGAAACAGATATAAGCATTCGGATTGGGGTCTTTTTAAGCAGTAATGATTAATAATTTCACTCGACAATGTGAATCTTTTTCCTTTTATAAATTCATAATTTTTCTTCTCATTTATCATGAAAACATGGCGAATATTGTAATATTATTGCTGTGTGTCGCTCTTCTTTCATTCCACTAACTCAACCCTTTATACAATGTTCTCTCAGAGGTAGCAGTGCTAAAGCTGAAGACCATTCACTGGAAGGAAGGTAAATCATCCATAGAGATTCCCTCTCTCTCCATGCATAATGTCACTTGGCATTATTTTGATTGACCATATGCAATACAATGAACAGGTTAGAGCAGAAACTTTCTGAGCAAAATGTGGGTGCTCCCCCTAGTTATGAAGAAGCTGTTTCTCGAAGCCCTTTACACAATGAAAGGTAAGAATTTTATAATACAGAGTTTACTTATTCTCAGAAATCTGTTACTATAATACAGAGTTTACTTATTCTCAGAAATCTGTTACTATATTATCATTTTGATTGCAGGGAAGGAGGAGTTTCAGCGGCATCTGCCCCAGGAGGCTCTTCTCCTGTAAGTGATAATCCACACCAAACCTCTGCTCCTACAGGATCTTCTCTTGTAAGCCATATTCCAACAGAAGCAACTGCTGCTGCCAGTACTGCTACATCTGGAAACCGTAAAGTTGAGGATTTTGATGAATTTGATCCTCGTGTTCCTGTATCAGGTGTGAGAAGTTCTTCATTTCTTGCTTTGAAAAATGTGTGCATATATGTTGGAGTTTTTATATATTTTTTTAATTCACATCGGGGTTCAACACTCACATAGTGGAATAGTGCTTTTGTTGGTGTGTTATGCATGTGTTAAATTCTTAATTACATAGTGTCTGCCAGAGAGGTGTGGATGGGGGACAGGGGGATTGCCATTGCCCACACCAGTTATTGGATTGTAATTTTCTTTGCATGCCTCTCATTGCAAAAAAATTTTTGTTTGATAACTCCCTGAGCATGTATTGTGATCTGCTCCCAAGTCTTCTACAAAGGCTTGTAAGAGCACTTTGAAATTTGTTGACAATGAGACATTTTATCAGGTAGCGAGGATAGTGGGGATATAAAGGTGAATGTCTGCTAATAAAATAGCAAGACATTTTACTAGCGTAGCTCATAATTGCACTTTTCACTTATATGCCTGAGTTGGGTGTAATAGAGAAATATAATATGGACCAGTTAGAACTTGAAAGCATGGAAGTGCTTTTAAATTTTAAGGATTGTTTAACTATATTGTATCGCTAGATGTAACACTTCCTATATCCATCACTCGTGTCCCACACTTGAATAATCGGTGGCATGACCCTAATTGAGATTTGATAAAATTATTATCATCTGCCATTTGGGGTTTTAGTTTAATATTGACAGTTTTCAAGGGCTTGTATTAATGCTTGAATTCTGCCCTCTTTGCTAGAAACAAATGTTATGATTTATATTCATGATATCTTTATGTTTCTTATTAGCTGCCTCAGCTACTGTTAATAATGTTGAAATGGACCTGTTCGGCTCCCTATCTGAGTCATTCTCTTCAAATGCATTGGCTCTTGTACCTTCTGCGACAGAAACCACAACCTCTCAAGGCAATGCAAACCTTGATTCAACAGTGTCCTTTGCATCGCCACCGTCTGCATCCAATAATTTCAATCCGGTAGGAATTTGTTTGTTCGTTTATACCTTAAGTATTAGAAAGTATTTGAATCTTTTTCTTTCATACTCTATTATTAAGAATGAATTTTCGTGAGACTTGGAATGCTTCTTGTTTTCACTGTTTTGTTGTATCTGTTTTCCTACTCTATTATTAAGATTTTGCATGCATGATTGTGGACAATTAGGTGGCTGGATTCTTGTTGTGAAATGTAGCATAATAATTACTATAACTTATGTTTGTACAAATGGGGGGAAATCTAAAAACTAGGAAGTGCTGTGATTCTGAGGGGGCATATTACCTGTGCTTATGCTTCAAATAATCTTTTTTAAAAGCTTCTGCAGCTTTTCTCATATCCTTTTACAAGAATTGATCGCTTTGTTAACCCTGGTTTTTTGTTGGTTTGACTTTTGGCAGGTGTTTGAAGACCCATTTGGTGATTCACCATTTAAGGCCATTCCTTCAACTGAATCTGCTCCATCTCAACCCCAGACTCAACAGAGTCTTGCACCATCCCAAGCAAGTGGTCCTAATACAGAATCGGTCTCTAAATTTGGGTTTGGAGACTCATTTTCTGCTACGACTAGTGCCAGTGAAACGCAATCTTTGTCATCAAGCTCTCAGTTTTTGTCTATGCCATCACAGGAATCTGATATTCTTGCAGACATTCTTCCCCCTGCACCATTACCTGGGACAACTTCACAACAGAACTTTTCAGCTTCTCCGGAAGCTCAATCCTCATCCTCCTTTCTAGCTTCATCAGGGCAAACAGCATCACAATATTTTTATGCACAGTCTGGTCAACCTGTAGCACAGGCCTCTGGTGGCCAACAGCTACAACCCTCATTATCAGTTTCCAGTCCCACTAATCAACATGCACAGAATCCCTTTCCAGCACATGCTGATCAATCTTCACAGCCAGGTGGTCATGTGTATGGTGGATTCCCTTCTCAGACTGGTTATCTGACTCAAGGAGCTTCAGGCATGTTCCCTCAATCTCAAGGTGGACATATGAACCAGACCTATGAACAAAGATCTATGGCACCTATTCCTTTGCACACAGTTCCCCAAGCTTCAAAAGGACAACTGTCACAGAGTGCAAACTATTTGCCTTCTCAATCCCCCATTGACCAAGCTTCACAATATAACAGTGGAAACTTCATGGCACAACAGGGGAATGCTTCTCCATTTAACCATCAACCACTTGGTCAAGGAGTACACGCTCCTCAGAATGTCGTTTCTCAACCATCCAAGGACAAGTTTGAGACAAAATCGACAGTTTGGGCAGATACACTAAGCAGGGGATTGGTTAATTTGAATATATCTGGATGTGAGTACTGTGTGTATAACCTTGTGCCTTCTCAAGCTGTTTTTAATGTGTGATCTTATCTGGATGAACTACTGACTTTTCATGTTTTCCATTTGCAGCTAAAATAAACCCTCTAGCAGATATTGGAGTTGACTTTGATGCCATTAATAGGAAGGAAAAGAGGATGGAAAAGCCAACAACAACAGCAACCGCAACTGTAACCATGGGTAAAGCCATGGGATCTGGTTCAGGTATGGGACGGGCTGGCGCTGGTGCTCTCAGGCCTTCACCAAACCCAATGATGGGTATGGGTATGGGCATGGGTCCTGGTGCTGGTATGGGTATGCAAGGCTACAGAGGCATGAATGCACCTTTGGGAATGGGGGTGAACATGGGTATGGGGCAGATGCAACCACCACCCGGGACCAACATGCCTGGTAATTATAACTATATGACGGGAAGAGGTGGTTATCCACAACATCCTTATGGCCGTGGTGGCTACCAATGAGATTGAGCATTAAAACTGGATAGCAAATGTCCAAGTGTATAAGTATAACTATAAGATTGAGCATTATACCAAGATAGCAATGTTAAAATGTATGAGATTGAGCACTATACCTAGATAGCAAGGTAAAGTATTATTACTCAATTGTTTTGTTACCAATTTATGAGTTTAGAGAAACGACAAGCCAATACTTGTGGTCTACGTCTTCCATTTATATTTCTAACAATAGATGTAATTCTCTGTAAAGTAACCCATGTGATGTATGCTTATTCTTGTTTTATGTTTTATGCTTTCCATTCATTTTTGGGTCACGTTTCTATAGGTGGTGCTTTGTGGCATCATAACTGTGTACCAGTGACTGGATCAAATAACCTAAGCTTACTTGGGTTATTGTTTTTAGTTTCTTAATTAATACCCCCCCCCCCCCCCCCCC